TGATAAATCTGTAATTCAGGAGTAAGAACAGCATAAAAGTGTAAAACTAAATCAAACACCAAAGAAATGATAAACAAGTCACAGAGAAACTATTTTTAAAAACTAGTTTTATAAAGAAGATTTGAAAGAAAAGGCTTTGAAACTTTTACACTGCGAACCTCCCTGCTTCCTGCATCCGTTTCCCTTTATTCCAGCTAAGTCATAGCCTAGGTTTACTTCACTGCAGTTAGCCGGGCTGTAGGGTCTGCTCCTGTTCACTGCTCCTGAGCTTGAAAAAGGCTGGAAAAAGCTGCAGCGTGCAGTTAACCAGCATGCTCACCAGTGTGCCTCGTTGTGGTGAAGTGGACACCGGATCCTGCAACTTAATGCTGTGATAAAGACACCCATTCCCTGGATCTTCAGAGACCATTGAGCCTGCTCGTCTTTGTCCGTTTCACTTGGAAATCATTCATTAATGTTTATTTGTCCTTACAGTTGGAGCAGATCCAGAAGCATACGTGGTATCTGTGAGTACAGACACTTGAGTTTATTTTCGTCTGCTTCTGTCTTGGTTCAGTGTGTACGTGCATGTCCGCTTAAAGTAATGCGATGAAAGAAAAACGCCACAGCAGATAATGCAGAATGAAAATAATAAGAGTGTTTTTTGAACTCTCTGATGGAGACCTCTCAGAGAGGAATCATGTCCATTAGTCCTGAGAGTGAGAGCTGTGTTTGCTCCAACGCTGAGAGGCCAGATCATCAGGATGCTCTAATGCACCTCTGATTTCTAATGGATGTAATATTTCTGGATTTTAAAACTCAAATTATTTTGATGTGTGTAAATGTATCCTGTTATCAAAAGCAAGTCTTGCCAGATTTTTGGCCTGCTTGACAAACCTCTGTGCATCTTTGGTTCGATTACTTTACTACTTACTAACTTTCCACCAAATTGACGTTTTCAAAAGCTTTTTCTGATCATTGAATTTAAGGACTGAGCTTCTCTTTTGTTGTGAAGCTTTAGTGTCTTCACCAGAGCGTTTGATTGTGCGGTTTATGTTGCAGAGCTGGAAAGAACGAGCCAGAACCCGAGCAGCCCGTCCCCAGGAAGGTGGCCATCAGAACACTTGCTTCGGTCGAAGAGATCGACCCCGACGTCCTGGAGAGCATGCACTCCCTGGGCTGCTTCAGAGACAAGGACAAACTGACCAAAGATCTGCTGTCTGAGGAGTGAGTGACAATGAAGGGACGAGGGAGCAAAAAGTCATTTACAAAACCACACATGAAGCAGATCGAAAGGGTGGGAGGCGCTGAGACGGAGAAGAGAAATATATTAGAGACTGCTTGACAAACTGTCAGCTTGATGAATTATTTCATTTAATATCTTGCGATGATCAACCGTCTTTTTGCACCGCTGGGTGCTCAGCTCACGGTCATTTCTCTTTGTCTCTACAGGGACAACCAGGAAAAGATGATCTACTTCTTGCTACTGGACCGGAAGGAGAGGTATCCCAGCCACGAGGACCAGAACCTGCCACCACGCAACGAGATCGGTAGGCCAGTC